GAAGCACCGGCGCCGCGAGCGCCGCTACGGCAAGGACATGGAGACCATCGGATTCGCTGTCTATGAGGTAACGGAATCGAGTGGGGTCAACCAGCCTTGTCTGGGATCAACCACCATCAACTGGGGTCCACCAGCCTTGACTGGGGTCAACCACCATCAACTGGGGTTAATCAGCCTTGACTGGAGTCAACCAGTCTTGATTGTGGTCAACCAGCATTAACTAGAGTCAACTGGCATCGACTGGGGTCAACCAGTATGAGTTGGCTTCAACTGGTTTCAACTGGGGTCACCTAGGGTGAATTGGGGTCAGCTGGCATAGGGGGACAATCAGAGTCACCTGGTGTCAGTTGTCACCAACGAGGTCCCCTGGTGTCCCCTCTCTCCGCACAGGTCCCTCCCGAGGTGGGTTCCGCGCGCCGGCGGTGCCGTTCCGGCGCGGCGCCGGTCGGGGCAGGCGGCCCCGGGGGTGTTTTTGGGGCCGTTTTTGGGGCGGTTTCGGAGCGTTTCCCCCCGGTGCCCGCAGTACGTGGGGAGGTCGGCCGTGCACCTGAAGCGCGAGTTCTTCCTGGCCAACGCGTCGCGCGCGCGCTCCGAGCAGTTCATCAACCTGCGCGAGGTGAGCACACGCTTCCGGCTGCCGCCCGGCGAGTACATCGTGGTGCCCTCCACCTTCGAGCCCAACAAGGAGGGCGACTTCGTGCTCCGCGTCTTCTCCGAGAAGAAAGCCGGCACCGAGTAAGCGTCGCCGCGGCAGCGCCGGCGAGCCCGCGCCGCGCCCGCGCTCAGCCCGCTCTGTGTCTGTCCGCAGGGAGATGGACGACAAGATCCAGGCCACGCTGCCGGACGAGGTCAGCCGGGGATGGGGGGACGGGCTGGCGGGGCGCCGGGGTGCGGAGTTACCAAAATGGCCGCTTTTCCCCCCAGAAAGTGCTGAGGGAGAGCGAAATCGATGAGAACTTCAAGCAGCTCTTCAAGCAGCTGGCGGGGCCGGTAAGGGAGCGGTGGCGGTGACACTGGTGGCGAGTGATGGTGGCATTGGTGGTTGGCCGTGACCTCAGTGATTGGTGGTGGTGTCATTGGTTGATGTTGATGTCATCGGTTGGCTGTGATATCATTGGTTAACAATGGCATCATTGTTGGTGATGGCATCATTGGTTGGCTGTGATGTCATTGGTTGGCAGTGGCATCATTTGTTGGCTATTATGTCATTGGTTAACAATGACATCATGGTTGGTGATGGCATCGTTGGTTGACGGTGACATCATTGGTTGTAGATGACATCATTTGTTGGCCATTATGTCTTTGGTTAGCAATGACATCATTGTTGGTGATGGCGTCGTTGGTTGGCTGTGATGTCATTGGTTGGCTGTGATGTCATTGGTTGTCAGTTGCGTCATTTGTTGTCCATGACGTCATTGGTTGGCCATGACGTCATTGGTTGGCTGTGATGTCATTAGTTGGCAGCAATGTCATTGGTTGTCAGTTGCGTCATTTGTTGTCCATGACGTCATTGGTTGGCCATGACATCATTGGTTGCCGATGATGTCACTGCTCGGCGGTGACACCGGGGCCACCCCGTGTCCCCTCCCCAGGACCTGGAGATCAGCGTCACCGAGCTCCAGACCATCCTCAACCGCATCATCGCCAAACGTGAGCCGGGATTTAGGGGGGGATTCCACCCCAATTAACCCCGCCCCGCTCATTAACACCCCCTCCCTCGTTAACGCCCGAAATTCCCAATTCCAGACAAAGATCTGCGGACCAAGGGCTTCAGCATCGAGTCCTGCCGGAGCATGGTGAACCTGATGGACGTATCCTGTGGCCGTGGGCTGGGGGGGCTCTGGGGGGACCCCTGGAGCCCCCCTTTCCTTAACCCCCCTCCCCCAGAAAGACGGGAACGGGAAACTGGGGCTGGTGGAGTTCAACGTCCTCTGGAACCGCATCCGCAACTACCTGGTGGGTCTGGGGGCTCTCCCGGCTCCTGGGGGGTTTGGAGTTCGGG